TTATTGTCTACATATATAACACAAAACAAGAGACAGAAATAAAACATATAAACTCAGAACATCTAAAATATTCTAAATATGTACCCATCAGCACAGACACAGGCACAGTAAGACTTCTCAATGAATTCGCATTACTTTTGNGCTTATCGGTTTCATGTATACCACAAGGAGTTTCATTACATTTGCTTTTGACAGCTAATTGTATCGCTATATTATAGTCTACATATATAACACAAAACAAAAGACATATATAAATACATAACACATATAAACTCAGAACTTCTAAAATAGTCTAAATAATATTGAACTTACCAGCAGACGCAGGTACAATAAGACTTCTAAATGAATATGCATTACTTTTGTGGTTATCTTTTTATTTATAACACAAGGAGTTTCATTGCTTTTGTTTTTGACAGCTAATTGTATCGCTATATTATTGTCTGTATATAACCAAAAACAAAAGACATAAATACATAAGACATATAACATCAGAACTTCTAAAATAGTCAAAATAATACTGCACTTACCAGCAGACACAGGCACAGTAAGACTTCTCAATGAATACGAATTACTTTTGTGGTTATCTTTCTTATGTATGACACAAGGAGTTTCTTTGCTCTTGCTTTTGACAGCTAAATGTATCGCTATATTATTGTCTACATATATAACAAAAAACAAAAGACATATGTAAATACATAAAACATATAAACTCAGAACTTCTAAAATAGTCTAATTAATACTGGACTTACCAGCAGATGCAGGCACAATACGACTTCTCAGTGAAATCGCATTACTTTTGTGGTTATGTTTTTCATTTATACCACAAGTCATTTCATTGCTTTTGCATTTGACAGCAAATTGTATCCTTATATTATTGTCTCTATATAACCAAAAACAAAAGACATATAAATACATAAGACATATACCATCAGAACTTCTAAAATAGTCTACTTAATACTGTACTTACTAGCAGACGCGCAGGCACAATACGACTTCTCAATGAATTTGCATTACTTTTGTGGTTATGTTTTTCATTTATACCACAAGTCGTTTCATTGCTTTCGCTTTTGACAGC